CTGATTGGACTGTTGAGATTATGTTATTTATTACACATATATCCTAGCATTCATCTAAGGTCATGCAGACAAATAATGGGGAGGGTGTGTGTAAGGTATGTTCAGCTTCAACTATAAAATTGCATCACATGTCAAAAATCTCTAGCATGCTGGATAAGGGCACCAAGAGGAAGAAAGAATGACTGTACAGTGGTGCCCCGCAAGACGAATGCCTCGCAAGACAAAAAACTCGCTAGACGAAAGGTTTTTCCGTTCGCGATTTGCCTCGCAAGACGAATTTCCCCTATGGGCTTGCTTCGCAAGACGAAAACGTCTCGCGACTTTTTTTCTTTGACTAAAAACAAAGACATGTTTTGTTTATAAAGTTAATTTATTTTCCCTTAAATTTTTGAACTGCTCTTTACAGTATGTGTGACTTTAAAGAGCAGTTAATAAACTGTTGTTGTACCAAATTTGGCTTTGTTTGGACTTTTTTTGACCATAGGAACGCATTAATTGATTTTCAATGCATTCCTATGGGATTTCGTGCTTCGCAAGACGAAAAATTCGTTAGACGACAAAAATTGCGGAACGAATTAATTTCGTCTTGCGGGGCACCACTGTAATATCACAGCCTATTAAAGCTGTTAGAAACATTACCCATTTTACAGTTAAGCCATATAGAGTGGTATCCAAGTCAGAGTGCAAGTAGAAACACTGAAATCAATGGGATTCAGTTAGTCATAATTAACATGTCCTCTGATCATAATTATCTACTCCAAGATGACTTAGTCAGGTACCATCCATATCACTTTGTATTTTCCCCTAATCTCCCATAGCTTGGCTAAATACCACTATCACGTTCTCTAAAGCAGTGGTTTTCAACCAGTGTGCCGTGGCACCCTGGGCTGCCTTGAATGATGGTCAGGGGTGCTGCAGGCAACACTGGCCTCTGTTGCTCTTTCCTTCCCTCCCTCCTCTGATGCCCTCCCCCATCCCTGCCTTTCAAAGACTTGAACAGCTGTTTGTTGCAGCAGTCCTGGCTACAAGCTCCCCAGGCAAATGGTGCCTTTGGGGCTGGGTTGCCAGGAGCTGAGGCGGTTCAGAGACCAGGGGTGGCTGTGGCAGTTGCCTGGAAGACTCCCAAGGAGAGAGGAGATTGAGGCTGAGGGAACACTCCACAAGGGAGGTTGTTTGAAAAAGGGTGAGGGGCTGCCAGCTCCTGAGCCCCACAGGGGTACCGCAGAAAGAATGTAGTTGTTCAAGGGAGCTGTGAACTCAAAAGGGTTGAAAACCCCTGCTCTAAAGTATCCAGAAAAGATTTGATTGAATTTCTAGTACACATGCACTCCACCCTGCAAAAAGTAGCCCTATTTCATTTCATTTGGAAAGAAACAGGATCAGTCATAGCTAGTAAACGTATGAAAAGTGGACAAGAACAGTATAGGAATACTGTGTTTAACAGGAGACACAGTGCCATTAGCATGCATGGTGCTCAGTACTTCAATCTAAAAGACTAGATATGCTTTTCTGTTTAAATTTTATGGTAGTATTCTAATGATTATGGCATGCTTTCATACTGTCAGCTGCCTCAAGAATTACTGTGACCGAGGTGGGATATGAATGTTTTAAAGTTCTCTCTGTGTAAAAGTTCACTATTTAAACTCATAATCAGATACCGTATTTTTCGCACCATAGGGCGCACTGGACCATAGGGCGCACCTAGTTTTGGGAGGCAGAAAACAAGAAAACATTATTCTGAACCCCAGAAGCCAGAACACCAAGAGGGATCTGGCTTCTGGGATACCGTGTGGCTGTTCTGGCTTCTGGGGTAACCCCGCCAAGGCTCTTCAGGGCAGCGGGATGAAGGCTCCCCCTGCCCAAAGAGGCTGCGCAGGGCTAAAGCAGAAGCCAGGAGAGACGCGTCGCTGAAGGGTCACTGCGCCTTCTCTCTCTCTGTGCAGCGCCCCTCCTTCACAGGAAAGGTGCTGCGCAGAGAGGGAGAAGGCGCAGCACCCTTCAGCGAAGCTGGAGAAGGAACAGAAGGAGACCCTTCTGTTCCTCCTCGGGCTTTGCTGGACAGGCGCATCGTTCAAGGGACGCTGCGCCTTCTCTCTCTCTCTGCGCAGCACCTCTCCTTCATAGGAGAGGCGCTGTGCAGAGAGGGAGAGGGTGCAGCGCCCCTTCAGCGAAGCTGGAGAAGGAACAGAAGGAGACCCTTCTGTTCCTCCTCGGGCTTCGCTGGACAGGCGCGTCGCTGCGAAGCGGGAGGAGGAACAGGAGACCCTTCTGTTCCTCCTCCGGCTTCGCATGACAGGCGCGTCGCTCAAGGGGCGCTGCGCCTTCTCTCTCTCTCTCTGCGCAGCGCCTCTCCTTCACAGGAGAGGCGCTGTGCAGAGAGGGAGAGGGCGCAGCGCCCCTTCAGCGAAGCTGGACAGGCGCGTCGCTGCGAAGCGGGAGGAGGAACAGGAGGAGACCCTTCTCTTCCTCCTCCGGCTTCGCATGGCAGGTGCGTCGCTCAAGGGGCGCTGCGCCTTCTCTCTCTCTCTCTGCACAGCGCCTCTCCTTCACAGGAGAGGCGCTGTGCAGAGAGGGAGAGGGCGCAGCGCCCCTTCAGCGAAGCTGGAGAAGGAACAGAAGGAGACCCTTCTGTTCCTCCTCCGGCTTCGCATGACAGGCGCGTCGCTCAAGGGGCGCTGCGCCTTCTCTCTCTCTCTCTGCGCAGCGCCTCTCCTTCACAAGAGAGGCGCTGTGCAGAGAGGGAGAGGGCGCAGCGCCCCTTCAGCGAAGCTGGAGAAGGAACAGAAGGAGACCCTTCTGTTCCTCCTAGGGCTTCGCTGGACAGGCGCGTTGCTGCGAAGCGGGAGGAGGAACAGGAGGAGACCCTTCTGTTCCTCCTCGGGCTTCGCTTGATAGGCGCGTTGCTCAAGGGGCGCCGCGCCTTCTCTCTCTCTCTGCGCAGCGCCTCTCCTTCACAGGAGAGGCGCTGCGCAGAGAGGGAGAAGGCGCAGCGCCCTTCAGCGACGCTGGAGCAGGAACAGGAGACCCTTCTGTTCCTCCTCCAGCTTCCAGGACAGGCCGCCGCGAAGCCAAGGAGCCTGCATTCGCTCCATAGGACGCACACACATTTCCCCTTCATTTTTGGAGGGGAAAAAGTGCGTCCTATAAAGCGAAAAATACGGTACTTAAAAAAAGATTATTTGGGAATAATAAATTTTATATCAAGCAACAACTGACGTGAGAGGGACTCCCCAAACTCCAGCTTTCATCTTCATATATCTAACGCCTGTGTCTGCAAAGAAATATTTGGGGTGGGGGGAGTGTGGACAGTATCTGTTCAACTATCAATAATCACATGGCTCTCAATCTCCCTCCTATTGTGACCTTTATTGCACAGCTGTTTCACCCTATTTTCTGTCCCAAATCTCCAAGATCTGTTTGACATCATGAATTCTGAACACAGAAAAAAGCAACGCAAATGCTTGTGAATACATTTATATGTTCAGTGTGCCAAATTATTTTTGATTTATGTATTTATTTTACAGCACTGAGGAAGTACATGTTCTGTTAGCATTCTCCCAAGATCTGTTAGTTGAGTAAACATATGAGCTTTGAACTTCATGCCAGAGGAAATTTGTACACCAGTACAGAAGTACAGGCATGAAGATGAATACTATAGTACACAACAGACACCATCTTCTTCTTGTACAGAAAATTGCTCTTTCCGAAATCCACTACTAGTCGGGTTAAAACAGATATGAGGGGGGAAACCTCAAGTTACAGGTTATATAAATGTCTTCCTCCAAGTTATTTAGGAATGCCTCTCTCACATTATTTTATTGCTCACAACCAAGTAGGTCATAAAGAAAAGATGGAGAGTTTGGAGCTAAAGGAAGCGATGAAGTGCTAGATAACAAAAGTTCCCAGCAATGGTGTGTGGGATAAAGCAAAGTATGTGTGCAAGATACACCCAATAGGACTCAGGAGCAAATATTCTCCAAGATGCAGAGGCAGCAAATGGCATCCAAACTGATATAGTGGGGGGCAGCAAAGAGGGGAAGAAGGAATACATGAGAAAGCTGAAGAGTGCTCTTGAGTGTTTTGTTTTTGCTTTTTGCTTTTGACTTTTATCAATTTGTATTGTTTAATTGCTATTTGTTTCTTGTTTTTTCTTTCTTTTTCTCTTTTTTTTGTAATTTTAAAATTCTCAATAAACATCATTAAAAAAAAAGAAGAAGAGTGCTCTCTCAGCTTTGTTAAGCAAAATAATTACTAAAGTCACACAAGGGAGATGATAAAGAAAAGTGAAGGGGAGACTGCCATTTTCAAAGTTCACTGGATCAGTGATGTTCAATGCTCTCAAGAGGATTAGACGATACATAAATGGAACCTGATATATGTCTTGATGTGGCTTTTGTCACAGCTTGAGACAAGCATCAATACTAGTAAAAGGAAAAGTATTAGAGATTCAAAAATAAAGATGTAAATAAGCAGCAAGAATACTTATTGCAAAGTACTGTATTGGAAGACACAAGATCTACCCACTCTGGAAGAATGGCAGATGAAGGTGATGGACTATATGGAACTGGCGGAAATGACTGGCAGAATCCGAGACCAGGGAGAAGAGTCGGTGGAAGAAGATTGGAAGAAATTTAAAGACTATTTACAGAAATTAATGAAAGTTAGAATGAAGTTGGATAGAAATTAAGCGGTTTTCAGCTGTAATATTATAAAGGAATATGAAAAATGGATTATTAATTGGTAAAAATTTAATGTCATAATATTTTAAAATTAAAGACTAGGATAAACAAAGAGGGTAGAGATTTGCTGAACCAACAAACCGAACTGGAATACAAAAAAGGGAGGCGTGAGGAGGTCCGGGAAACAAGCTAATGGAAAATAAGTAATGGAAAGATTGAGTTGTTTTTAACCATTTTTATTTTGTATTTTCTTCTTCTTCTTTTTTTTCACTTTTATTTTGTAATATTTTGAAAATCTTAATAAATATCTTATAAAAAAAGAGATGTAAATAAACTAGCTTATTAAGGAAGCGATTCTTCTGAAACGATGTGAGTTGCATCTAAGATTTTCTCATCAGTAGATCCATTAAAAGTAAAAGGCCTAAGTTAGTGATGTCCATTAATTCCATTGGGTCTCCTCTGACCATGACTAGCATTGGCTACAACCCCATACAACTTTTTAACAAATTGACGTGCACACACATTTGTCTTTTATAATAATAATAATAACTTTTTTTCCTAAAAAAGAAATTTCACATATTCCAAAAAGTCTTCTGCAGGAGTATTACAAATATTTTCAGCCACGAGAGTGATCAATGAAACACTTGAATAAAAACAAAACGCTATCGCTCTTAGAAAACATCAATACTGGGGGAACTCTTCGTCAATTTTGCTAGCCCACGCCATCAGCCCTCCCCTGATATCCTTGACAGAAATGGGACCAAGTCCATTCTGAGACAACCCCTGCAATATTCGCACAGCCTTCTGAGAGTCATTTCCCAATTTGCAGACCACGTAAAGGGGGAGAGCCGTGCTGTCGTCCGCCCCTTGCCTCGCTTCATGTATCCTCTCCTGCAAGGACTTCAAGGATCCTTCATCTCCTCCTTCCAGCTTACTTAAGGGCACGTGGAGGGAATGCGGCAGGCGGCAGATGTCCACTTCCACCGGCGGGCGCACGTCCACCAGCACGTGAGGAGCCCGGCTGTCCAGGACCCTTTTGTACTCTTCCACGGACACCCTCTCCTCGCCGCTCAACAGGTGCAGCGCCCGGCACTTGTCCGTTGCCGACGACCTGCAAAACTCCTCGTAGTCCTGGAGGGCGGTCACGGTGGGGTGGTCCCCGCACACAGCGCACCTGGGGTCCCTGGGCCTCAGCTTGATGTGGCGGAACCTGCCTTCCAGGGCGTCGAAGAGCAGCATGGACCCGTGGCTCCTGGCACCCATGCCCGAGGCGATCTTGATCACTTCCAAGGCCTGGAGGGTACCCAGGATGCCAGGCACGACCCCCAGGACCCCTCCGTCGGCGCAGTTGGTGACCGTCTCCGGAGGGGGCGGCTTGGGGAAGAGGCAGCGGTAGCAGGGGCCCCCTCGGTGGTTGTACACCGCCAGCTGCCCTTCGAGCCTGAGAGCGCTGCCGGAGACCAGGGGCTTCCCGGCCAGGACGCAGGCGTCGTTGACCAGGTATCGAGTGGGCACGTTGTCCGAGCAGTCGGCCACCACGTCGTGGTCTCGGACCAGCTGCAGGGCGTTGCTGGGCGACAGGGCCAGCTCGTAAGGCACGCAGCGCACCCGGGAGTTGAGCTCCCCCAGCGCCGAGGCCGCCGAGCGCGCTTTCGGGGTGCCCAGGCGGCTCTCCCGGTGCAGCACCTGCCTGTGGAGGTTGTCCAGCTCCACCACGTCCGGGTCCACCAGGCCCAAGCGCCCCACGCCCGCCGCCGCCAGGTACTGAGCCACCGGGCAGCCCAGCCCTCCGCAGCCCACCACCAGCACCGAGGAGCCCGACAGCCGCAGCTGGCCGCTCACGCCCAGCTCCGGGAGAACCAGCTGCCGGGAGTAGCGCCGGATGTCCAGCCGGCTCAGCGGGCCTGGCGCCTCCTGGGACTCGCCGCCGCCGCCGCCTCCCAACACGCTCCCCTCAGCGCGCTTTTCCGCCGCCATGATTTACCTCAGCACCTCACCGAGAGGGTAGAAACGCCTCAGCGGCGAGACGCGGTTGTTTGTGAGGGAGGGAGCGGAGGGAGGCCTCGCCTCTTCCGCTTCCGCGGCTCTTCGGTGCTGAGGAAGCCGGTTGGCACACAGGCGACGTCGGCTCGGCCCTTGCCAGGCCTCCGCCTCCTCCTCCGCCGCCACCATCATGGCCGCCTCCCGGGACAAGTACTCGGTGCTGCTGCCCACCTACAACGAGCGCGAGAACCTGCCGCTCATTGTGTGGCTGCTGGTGAGGAGTTTCGAGCAGAGGTGACTGAGGGGAGGGGACTTGTTTCGTTTCAGCGGCTTAACTATATACAAAAAAAGCCCCTAGCGCTAACGAGCTCCCCCCGGAAAAATCCGCCCCGTTCCTGTACTCCGCGTTAGTTAATCTGGAATAACTAGCCCCATCTTCCAGACCCCCGTCCGTTTCCCATCGTCGCCGTTGCGAATTAGAATCCTCCATATCGTGGGGAGAAGCTTTTCTCCCGAGGGCGTTTTAAAGGTGTTGGGGGTTGTGAGTCCGTGGTATATGTACCCCGAAGTAAGAGCATGATGGTGTTGGGTCTGCTTAACTTCCAGGGGTAAAAGATGTACTGTATCTGCTTCGTTTGTTTCAGGCACCACCATATAAACTAGGTTTTTAAGGATGCGTCAGACCCATTACGCCCCCATAGAATATGTTTAGACATGACTTTTGTCTGTCTGTTAGAAAAGCTAGGACTTTGCAGGTAAACCTCACTGTGTCCAATGGGGTTTTCACACTTAGGGGAGCGTGTGCATAGGATTAAAGCCTGGCAGCACAAGCCTATGCATGTCTACTTGGAAGCAAACTTTCATTCCTATCCAAGTGAGATTTCCTTCCAAGCAAGTGTGTCTAGGATAGGAGTGAAACCTAAACATTATTTTCCCCCATCTGCATGTAAACTGGATGGTGATTTTCCAGGGACATTCCTATATTATTATGAAAATCAATTTATTAATCACCTTCTAAACCACTGTCTCAAGGCAATCTATAGACCGGTTTATGTGTACCTGTAAGTGAGTAAGTGTCAGAGTGTAGATTTTGTAGGTTTTCATTAAGCAGTCTTTGGATTCTTGCCTATGGTGAAAATTTTCAGCCTGTTTTCACAGACGGAGCAAGCGGTGTGTAGGTTGCCAGCAACTTCTGAAACATGATTTTTCACCAGCTGTAAGCACATTATTGGTTATTGATCAAGAGCCAAAATCCAATCTGATAGCTTTATTTATGGAGTAGTAACTTACTTATTTGGAATGCTGGTTTTAAGGGCCAGATCTCTTGAATGGGACACCTGGAGTAGTATTTGCGAAATACTACTCTTTGCCAGTAGTATTTGTGAAAAGGATCTAGGGGTCTTGGTAGACCACAGGCTTAGCATTAGTCAACATTGTGGTGCAGCAACACACACAAAAAGCTAATGCATCAACAGAAGTATAGCGTCCAGGTCAAGGAAAGTATTAGTACCACTCTATTCTGCCTTGGTCAGGCCAGTACTGTGTCCAGTTCTGGTCACCACAGTTTAAGAAGGTTATTGACAAGCTGAAACATGTGCAGAGGAGAGTGACCAAAATGATCAGGGGTCTGGAAATCAATCCTTAATGAGGAACAGTTGAAGGAACTGAGGATGTTTAGCCCAAAGAAGAGGCTGAGAGGAGATACAATAGCCATCTTGAAATATCTAAAGGGCTGTCCCATGGAAGATGGAGCAAGCTTGTTTTCTCCTGCTCTGGGGGCTAGAACTTGAACCAATGGATTCAAGTTACAATAAATGAGATTCCATTTAAATGTCAGGAAGAACTTTTTGACATTAAGAACTGCTTCCCTTAGGAGGTGAGGGACTCTCCTCCTTTGGAGGTTTTTAAGCAGATGATGGATGGCCATCTGTCATAGATGCTTTAGTTGAGATTCTGCATTGTGGGGGTTGAATTAGATGACCCTTGGGGTCCCTTCCACTTCTAGGATTCTAATCATTCAGTTTCTGAATCAGGCAAATGCCTGAGGCAACTGTGACCCATGAAACGAATAACCAGCATTGGCCAACAGTGCAAACCCTGCCGTTACTCTGCAGTATTTACTTGGAGCAAGGGCACTATGAAGCATTTCAGTTCCATTTTGAGAGGAGAGTGCATTGTAATAGAATTAATAACACCATTTACTTTTGATGAGGAAGCATTGGGTATTTCTCTCTGTTCCCCTACCCCCTTTCATAATACTTTATATACTTTAACTTTTGAACCTGGCTTTAAAATGTAATTCTCTATTTTTTCAGTGGAAATGATTTCGAAATTATAGTAATAGATGATGGAAGTCCTGATGGGACACAGGAAGTTGCTGAACAGCTGATAAGGATTTATGGATCTGATAAGATTGTGAGTCATATGTTTATTTTTTGCCTTGACTTGTTTGCTGTTACAACACAAGATGCTTAATAATATTATTAGCATTAAGGGATGAAATTTGAATGCATGGGTTGTTCGTTCTTTTAACACTGAATTGTTTACCAGTTTATTCAGGTAGCAACATTGGGAGTTGTTTGAAATTTCCTGAATTAGCATATTTGGATGCAGTTTTAATTTTCACTTTATAAAGTTGTGCTAATTCTTAGAGTTGTCATCACTTGACCTCATAGGATGCTCTAATAGCTGTCTGTGAGAAATCTACCAGATACCACTTTCCCCATAATTTTTGCATTGTGACACACACAGAAAAGTTTGTCATGTTCAGCACTGCAACAGGGGACCCAGGTGCAGTGTTAGCAATGCTTCTTCAGCTGCATATACAGTGGGTGATATTCAATGTTGGTTGTAGTCTGAGTAGATCCATTGAAATCAGTGGACTCTACTTGTCCATTAATTGCAATCGGTTCTTCTCTGATTGTGGCTCAGTTGTATATTATCCAATAAATTTTCATCCATTTGATACTGTGCCCACTCATATTTGCAGAATTAAGTCCCTAAAGGTACCATATATATGCTGCTGAATACCTCTTGATGAAGCGTTGTTAAGAAAAATTGGAAATGCATGATTTTTTAAAAATGCAAAATGTATTTCTGATAATGAACAAACTTACTCGCATTAAGCCCCTGCAGTTTTTATGTGAGTGCCTAAGAGAGCATGGATGTATGGCAGATGAATGCTCTAACCCTGCTAGTCAAGCCTCCCTTATTTTGAAGTGCTTGGTGGTGATCCATACTTTACGCTGAGGGCGGGGGACTTTTTTGGCTCTTTGGGCTGTAATCAACAAGTGGGTGGGCTGACCATCTGTCAATCACCTGACATCGCAATGACTTCAAAGACCCAAAGTCAGGACTACAAAGCACCATGCACAGCTGATTCAGCCAGCTTTGGCTCTATTTCCCATCTTCAGCAGACCATTCTAAACTTGGTCTACAGCTCTATATTCTGCAACTGTTTTGATCTGAATTAATGTCTGTGTAATCCAAATGTTAAAGGCAGCTTGCTCTGTAAATATGGAAGTGTAGCAGTCCTATTTGAGAGAAGAGCAACTGTGGTAATGTTAATATTTAGCTGAAATAATAATAAAAAACCTACAATTGTGGATCATTTAATGCAATTAATCGGTTACTCATTTCCTCCACTGATATTTTACAGCTTTTAAGACCCAGAGCAAAGAAACTTGGATTGGGTAAGTATTCATTAATTTGAGGATTTACAAGTTTTATATTCTGACCTTGAACTCCCAGGGCAGTTTACCATTTTAAAAAGCATGAAGTTTAATCATACCTTTAACTCTGTTGGTTAGCGTGTGTGTTGGAAACTTGGAAAAAAACTTACATATGTATATATACCTTTCTGGGGGTAGGTAAGAAGGCATATTTGTTGGTTTTCAACAGCGTCCAACATATCACAACTCCAGTTAAATAATAAGCTGAACATACACAATTTTCTCTAACCATGAAATTACACTGTTTATCTCCATTTAATACTATACTTTGGGGTTGTAGTAGCTGCTTGAAATTCATGCATGTGTGACTAACTGTTGCCCGGAACAGGCTCCTGGAGTAGGATTGCAGATTGATCAAGCAGCCATTCACTAAAAATGTAGGGCATTTTTTTATTCCATATGTTGACTTTGACGAGAAACTGAATCAGCCTTGTAGCTGACAGCTCACATACATGATTCTGAATGTGGGTGACAGATCTTGCCTTTGTATCATTTACACCAGGGACTGCTTACATTCATGGAATGAAGCATGCCACAGGAAACTTCATTATTATTATGGATGCTGACCTCTCACACCATGTAAGTGTTTCCGTTGTATCTGTGCATACATTTCTTTAGCCTTTATAAAGTTTTCTTTATTTAACTTGCATTGAGCTGGGGTATATTTTCATTTTCCCACATCTCTCTTTTGTGTTTCAGCCAAAATTCATTCCAGAGTTCATCAGGTGGGTAGTATTTTTAATATTTTTAGTATTTTTAAAATATTTCAGTCAGACCTTAACATTTACTGCCCAGGTGCATAGGAAGCTGCCTTATACCAAGTCAAACTATTTATCCAACTAGCTCAGTATAATCTACACTGACTGGCAGCAGTTCTCTAGGGTTTCAGGCAGAAACCCCTTCCAATCTTACCTGGAGATATTGGGGAATGAACCTGCAACCTTCTTCCTGTGAAACAGATGCTTTGTCCTGTCTGCATTTACATTTGGTACATTAGCAATGGGCAATAGGTTGAACAATGAAAGAAATCAGAAAAGAAGTGTCTAAACTTTAATTTTTGACCAGAATTGGTTAATGTTTGCAGCAAGGTCAGATTCCTGCCAAACTTCACTAGGATAGCAGCACAGAGATGTGAAAGCCCACAAAAAAACCTATTGAAATTGTGGTGGCGAAGGAACATATTCCGCCTATGCTTTTGAGTTTTTCTGAAAAATAATGAATTATGAAATATTTTCCTCCAGAACGGTGAATAAAGATTTTAAGACTAGGTTTTCATAAGCATACTCCCCCAGAATGATTTCTAAAAACTATGCAA